TGCAGCTCTGTGAAAAGGATTAGTTAGCTGTTGCCTGGATCAGTGGGCCCATGGACCTTGAGGAGCCCAAGAACTGCATTCCAGGGTCCTTCCCGGCACACCTCAGACAGCGTTGTTTGGGGATGCCTGACCTTGCTGAACTTTGAAAAGAGAAGCTTGCTGTGTATCGGGCATCAGAGGGACTGCTGATAAGTTGCCAACGCTAATTGCTTTTGTCTGCCATCACTTGTCTTGTTACTACACGTAGTTGTGTTTTTGTTAAGTCAATAAATCTTTCTTACCTTTCTACCCCCCCAACCACACTCTCAATCTAAACCCTCCACAGGCGGCTAGAGCACTTCCCATACAGGTATGAGTTCCAGGCGTGTTGGTCTAACCTCCTCTATTCTTCTCCAGCTGGACCATCTTGGTTTTGTCTTCTGGGATCTCTTGGCTTGATCTGGGTGGGTCTTCGCTCTCTCTGCTTTAAGAGTAACAGCTTGGGCAGGCAGATCATGCTGCAGCAATGGCTGTAGCAGCAGTGGCAGAAGCCACTAGGGACTGTTTTTGAGTCACTAGCATAGGTGAGACTCCTGGTACCTCTTTCCTGTCCCTTCCCTTCCCCACTCTCTTACAGGGTGCCAGGATCAACCAAGCCATAGGTTGTCACTCAGTGAATTACTTTGGGCAGGCCAGGGTTACACCAGGCATTGGTTGCAGTCCAGGTCTTCAGGCCAAGGGTTAAAGCAGTATCATGGTCGGGGGGGTGAGGGGGAGGAAGGTAAATCAGAGCCAGGAAATCCAAACAGGAAGAGCAAGGACTGTGGTGAGGCTGGGATCAGGCAGGAGCAAGGCAGAAGTCCAGGGAGCAAGCACGCATATACCCCCTATTACTAAGAAAGTTCAGCAGGAAGTAGAAAGAGTTTTATAGCCTTCCTGTCAGGGCTTATGATGCCTACTGGTTCTCCCTGGACACCCAAGTCCTCATTAATGTCCTCATGGGAGGAACTAGACTGGGCTGGGGCTGCTTCCTGACTAGCTGCCTAGGGGTGCTGAGAAGTTGGCCTCTGTCTGCTGCCCTAGGTTTGAATCCCCATGGCCCTAACACAGGGTTTGCTTAGAGGTACAACCCTTGTTTGTAACACCTCTGTGTTGCACCCACTGGTAGGGGTGCCCAAGTTTCATGAAAGACTGGAATATTGAGTATATCTGTTATGTGATGTGTCCTACAAAAATATTTTGAAAAAAAAATAAAGTTTGGTTGCATTTTTAGTGTTCTTACAGGCCAGCTCAAAATACCATCCAAAAATAGCTTCCCTAGCTAAAAACATTTTTGTGATGTTTCAATAGGAATGTACTAAACACTTGAAGCTAGACTGGAAGGGGAGGCAAATATTTGTATTTGTCATGCTCTGAAATTATTAATCCCAACACTAACAGCTTTCTTATCTGGGCCACTTTACACATCCCATTAGGATGAGTGATTGGGGAAGGTCTATAGAATTGTAAGCAGAAACACTTTACCTTTAAGTAAAGGTAAATGTTAACACATCTGACATTGGTTAATATTTTTATTAATCCTAATGACAGCTCACTGTGGCTGCATATATGAATACTAAATGAATGTGTGTAATGTGGAGAGGGTTAGTGACACTTAAAACAATCCATTAACTATTTGATCACCTAAAAGGCATGAAGCTAGACTGAAAGGTTGTATTTCAATCAGTGGCTGGCCATGCTGCCACCTCTTTCCATAAGCAGAGAGAGTTGGTTCACTGTGATAGTCTCAGGTTAGACAGAGGGCAGGGCAGGATGGCATCCTTACAGACTAACTAGTTCAGAGACTTTATCTATGAAGATCATAGCATCAAAGTAGGCTGTAGTCTATGAAAGCTCAGGTCTCTCTGAACAAGTTAGTCTGTAGATGCCACCCTGCCCTGCACTTTCTCCATAAGACGCTAGAGAAAGAGTCGGGTTTTGATTTGGCTTCACTGGCTTTATACTAGCATAACACCATTGAACTAACGGGCTTACTCTCTTTATTTGAATACTTATGCAAGTTAGAGAAGAAGCAAGACTGAAAGCTATATTTAAACAACATAAAAATAACCATGCTGGGCCTAATCTCTGCCAGCAGTGCCTGTGCAGAAATGGATACTAAAGCTGATTGTTCTGTTTGGGAGTAGGATGTACAACACTCCTGCAAAATGAGATTTGAAAAGTTTGTCCTGTAAAAATCAGAGTTATAATAATAAGCAATGCAACTCTTCAGGGCTAGTTTTCAAGACATGCCTGAGGGGTTTTATTAAAAATACAGTCAAACCAAACCTATTGCAACAAGCTTGGAGCAGTTTTGTAATATAAACGCTGTACACATGACTGGGCCACTGAGATGTTTATTGTTACAAGGGTATCTGGTTGGGGAAGCATAAACAAGCAGGAAAGGAGAGAAGGGCTCATAACCAACTACTTCTCCACAAATGTTTGAGTGTTAGGAGACAGTGCCAATAGAGGAAGAGGCCTGGTAACACAATAGCTACAAAGGGCAATAGCTCTGCTTTAGAAGCTCCCCTCGAGAGGAGAGTAATTGTTTGGGGGAACTGGAGCAAGTCACAGGGCTGGAATAGGGGATGTTGAAAGAAGCAACCTAGGTAGGACATCAGGGGGTGTTTTATACATTCCCTCCAGGAGGTGGGAGGGAGAGGGTGCTTTAATTAGAGTGACTCTCAGAGCCACTCTAATTAAAGCACCCAGAGCGTCACGTGTATCAGCATCCCTGCGCTGAAAAATGGCAGCAACCTTTAGTTGAAGTGCCCCCACTGCCATTTTGAAGCACAGGATGCTGATACACATGATGCTGGAGTCTGCTGGGATTAGGTAATCACTGTTACAGCTCATTGGAGCAACCTCTAATGCATGTGTATAAGCATCCCAGGAGATGGTAAAGACTTTAAAGCCTGTAGACTGCTTTATAGAATCCTAAATACTTTGCTCTGCTCCACTGCTGATATAAGCAGTTCTTTTGTTTTGAAGAAAGCTGTCTGAGCACTGTAGGCCAGCAGTGTAGGAATATACCCAGGTGCCCTGGGGTAAGGTAATGGTGAATGTGCAGCTGTCAGAAGCAACTGCTCCCCTCCCTCCCTTCCCCCAGGTCAGCCCTCAGGGCAGATGCCATTATGGCCCCCCTAGTTATGCCATTCACTGGTCAGGATTGTTTTCAGGCATGACTGAGCATTTCCCATCTAAGTACCTAACTCCAAGGCACAAGCAAAGGCTGGAGCATCCAAGTAACTTTTTATACAGTGAAGTTGCACGTTACACTTACCCATACTAATCCGTAGAATATTAAGAAGTGTTAAAGTTAAAATGTGCTATGAGCACTACTAAGGGTTAATGCCATACATGCCTCCCCTGGGGGTGTGCACAGTGGTGGGGAGTCACCCCCCACTCTCCACCCACTGCACCCCCTGGATGAGCTGACTGTGGCTCTGCTTCACTCCTGGCAGGGTTGCATTCATTGCCCTGGCTGGGCAGCACCTGCCCCACTCCCTCACTGTGGGGCCCTCAATCTGCACCCTTACATGCTCTCCCCTCCACAGACTTACCAGCAAGGAGTTGCTCTCCAAGCTGTCAGGCTGCATATTGGATTGGTATTGGCTGATATGGCTGGTTAATAATCGGCCATTGGTATCAGTGAAAAAAATCTTTATTGGTGCACTCCTAATCTGCTTCTAACTAATAAACATGTAGCTGATTCCTACTGTTTATTCTTTCCTGATAGGCTCTCTTCTGCAGCAGATAACTGAGCATTTAGTTCTCCAAACTCCACAGCTATGCCTTCCCTCAGGGGGAAATGCTGATTCCCAGCTTTGGGAAGGAGAGGAGATGCATTTTTAATGTGGGATTATTTATCAATTACGAAATTTGGCAGAGTTGTCTTTCCTTTCACTGTACATAGCCCCCCATGTCCCTCAGTGGGCTTGTCTTCAACTGAAACGTTACATTAGACCAGCAGTTTCCAACTTCGGGTTACAGCCCAAATGAACATTATGGGGGCAATGCTGGTGGCGCCGCACACGAAGGCAAGCTGTGCTGTGTGCTGCGAGCTCCCCTGCTGCACTCCACTCCCAACAGTGGGTCATGGCAAAAAGAGGTTAGGAACCACTGCGTTAGACTATAACTGTGGAGTTACATTAACTACAAAACACTGCTCTGCAATTGGGGTAGGCTATGATTGTCGCATGCCATTAAGTTAACTGACAAGAGTAAACAGTGTGACAATAAATATACCCATGACCAGACCACATCATGTTAAACAAAATAGTCCTTGTCCATGCTGCCTGCAAAATCATATATGGTATCTTCAGATGACGTAGTAATGTTATGTTCGTCAGGATGATGACCATCTTCTTACTTTGCATGTACTGTGATTAGAATAACAGTGGCTCCTAGGTACTTCTGCAATACAAACAACCACCATCTTCTAATGAAGACAACCCTCAGGGTCCAGCTGGCATACATTCTTCTGGATTTCTATTTTTCTGTTTTGGAAGCTCTCTCACTGAGAAATTTCTCTTTGGAGGTGTGAAAGCCTTTATACATGGCTTAAATTTAACTTGGATTAAATTTACTTACTCTGGAAGGACAAAAGTCTAAGCTGCTCGTTAATAATTTTGCTAGTATGATTTATGCACTCATCTGGAGGGCTGTTTCTACTAAGTTCATAATCCTTCATTTCTGCCTCCCCACCAAGAGAAAAAGGATATAAAACAAAGCTGTTATCAAAATGAAGTAACCCAATATTAAGCTTTAATTTAATAAAGAATAAAGTGCAAAGGTATGTTGTTTTTATGGTACTGGGTGAACACAATAATGATACACAGGGCAAGGCAAAATACCTAAACTGTGAGGTATAAGCTCAGGATTAATTCTAAGTCCTCCTTCCTCAGTATAAAGAGATCCCACTCCAGTAGAGGCAAGAAAAGGCGAAGCTAGCAAAGAAAAGTGAAATACCACAAGCATTCTATGTAAAGTGACTTTATTAAAAGGTTTGTTAATATAAAATGTGACCATGTACAATTTTTCTGTTATGAATGTTTAATAAAAGCATATCATAGAAAGGGAGAAGCATCAATTTATGTCAAAGATCAGCAAGGAAAAATCTACTAAGTAAGTAAAAGTTCTGCAGCATGTTCTACCAGGTGGTCCCAAATATGTATAGGATGCAGTACTCTAAAAATGGTAGTAAAGAGAGCACAAAATTGAAGCAAATTACAAATCTACAATCCATTTAGCACAGGTGTAAACAAATGCTCCTCCCGACATTAAGAAGTGTTACACAAAGCGCTACAAATATTGAAGCAAGATTAAAAAGTTGGTGCCTCTTGCATGGACTGAAAATACACACTGATGGCTGAATATTTCAACTTACTGAAAACAATTCAAAGCTTTTATTAGTAACTGTAAAACCCATGATTAGTGTCATTCAGCTTAAAAAAATTTCAAGGACTCAAGTTTGAGGAAAAAGTGCAAGTCAGCAGTATTTCAGATATCTGAACTTTATGCTCAAGTCCTTGTTTAATTTTCCATATTAACGCTAGATGATGATGTAACACTAATAAGGGCCATTTAAAAATATTAAACTAAGCAGCAAATATTATAAGTATATCTGGGCCAACAGGAATATGAAATACAAAAGAACTGAAATTTTCTCCTGAATTTACAGGGGTCAAATATAAGACCCATCCTCTATATAGAAGTTTACTTGATATGTATCACCGAGGAGTGCATTCAGTTGAAGTGTATTTTGTAGCACAGCTTTATTAATGCTGTTTCAGAAGTTATCATTGTGCTATGAAACCTCACTGTAAAATTTGCTTTTCTATGACTAGCCATCCAATACTTTATTCTTTTCTGTTGCTAGAAATTAATCCTTGTTTTTGAAAAAGGCTAAATTTTATAACCAAGCCTTTAAACATATTAAGGAAAGCAAGTATTCACTGCTGTTTGATAGTAAATATATACCACCTGCCTCAAAGCAAACAGGGCAAGCAGCACACCACTCTGCAGAATGGAGTTTCTTCAATACCTGCAGACTACTTTGAAATCTTCTCAAAGACTTTTATTGTACAAAAGAAAATTTTGGTCAAAAAATGGAATCAGCAGGGTTTAACTGTCACTAGTATCAATAAACTGTCAAATGCCAATCCACGTGAAGCCTAAGGGAACTAAGTCCAACTGGTACAGACTGCCCATCATTTGGCCATAGTACAACTTTGGCATGGATTCATTAAAATGAGCTATATCTTTTTCCTTCCACCCCGGATAGATAATTTTGGAATCAATTATGGAGGTAAAAAGGAAAGGTTAAACCTCTGGCATTGGACCCTTCACTGGTTGTGTGCAAGGGGAATTAAGGCTTCAAGGTGAAAAACACAGTGAAAAATCAGTGTGTAAATCATGCTGCATTTTGGAGACAGCAGTCCAAATGACAGCTGAAGTCCTGTTCTCTACCCTTAACAGCAACTGAGGATTATTCAAAAGTAGACCTGGAGGCACACATGCCAAAGGCTACCTTTCAGTTCTGTTTGCACCTCAGATGCAAACACTACCCAGAGAGTGGACACCAGGGACGATGTATCCACAAAAGGAAAGAGCACCAGAAGTTAGACTGATGCGTCTTCAAGAGGGATAGCTGTTATAAAAAGAGTACAAAAAGCCTTAGTGTGCTATAGCCTGCTATAAATATAGAAGTTTACCATAGCAAAAACTTAAGTGGTGTCTGCTCCTGGAGACACCTGTGATTTACTTCAACTTTTCTGCTACCAAGGGCTATATGGAAGCAGTGACCTCTTTAGGTTTTCATTCCCTGGAAAAAAAATTGGACAAAACAAAGGTCAGCATCCTCACTCATGTTTACAGTCATTTCCCAAGCCACTTTTGTAAGAAGCCTTCCTTTCTAGCAAATGTATCTATAGAGCACAACTGCAGTGATTCTTTGAACCAAGCATTTTTGTCAAACCTTTGGCTCCTCTCAAAATAACTTGCAAAAAAAGGTGGTAGAATACAATACTGCCAAACTAGATATGAAATAAACAAAGAAAATACAATTCTTATAATATGCTTATTTTTTCATGCCTTTCTTAAAGGAGTCTTTTGGTAGTTTATTTAGAGCAACACTGCATTTAATTCATTTCTGTCATGAAAGATGCAAATACTTACGAGCCACGCTAACCCAATTCCTAACAAAACAAGAACTGGATCTTGGTAGGCTGAGTCTTTTGAACACAGAAGTTTGTCCTTTAATGTATACAATTTTCCCCAATACAATAACTACTCAACTTGTAACAGACATTACAAAATTCAAAAAAAATGAGATCACGCCTATCACAAACACTTGAAGTACAAAAGTGCATCTGGTATTACAAAAAAGTTTATACAAAGGCAACATTTAGAGTTTGAAAATTATTTTAAAATACGCAGATGCTAGTAACTTAACATACAAAGAGAAAATGCCTCTTTCCTTCTCCAAACTTTGTGTGAACTATTTTGTAGTGTCTTTACCAGTTGTCTAGAAAATCAAAGCCAGTCTTCAAGATAATGGTGCTTGTATTACTCTGTAAAAAGACAGAATTAAAGGATAAATATTGACATATATGGGATTAACAGGATTAAATGGAGTTGAATAACATATGGACCCTGAAAATCATAATATATTTGTTTGTAACTGTGCCTGCCAAAATGTAACGTTCTTTACCTTGGAACGCTTGATAGCATCAGTATTGAAAAATGCCACATATATAAGAAAAATCCATATGTTGAAGGAGCAAAAAATTATTCCTGAATCAGAGTAATATTTTTTACTTTGCTGATAAAAAGGATTTATTTATTCTTGCTTCCCTATTCAAATTATGATTATTTTTCAGGACAAAGGGTAGGCAAGAGTGAAGAAAATATATATCATCTAATCTGGTAATCCTATGCTTTTGATGGTAAGGGCCAGGAAGGTAAGGTCATCTCTCCTCCTCACTCCACCCCACTCCAAGTCACTAATGTTACTTCAGGGGCAGCAGAGGGGGATATTGTACCTTCCCCTTAAGCCCTGGGATGCTGGCCACAGGTAAGGCTGGGATATTTTGACTGGGTAACATTGATGCTCTTGCTGGTACTTAGGAAAATGTAGATGTTCCTGACATCTTGCTCTTCTTCCTCAGGGTTATACTGATGATCACCAAAATTTGGAGGCAGGAAAGAACTTTTCCTCTCGCTCAGACAGGCATGGATTTGTTTTGCCTTCCTGTGCAATGTGGGGCATGGTCCTTTTCATAAGATAGGGTGGCCAACCTGTGGCACAGGTGCCATCAATGACATAGGCAGCCTCTGTGCATGGCATGCAGCAGATAAGGGAGGGGAAACGTAGCACAGCATCAGACAGGGCAGAAGGCAAAGCAGGAGATCAGGCAGGGAGCACCGAGTAGGGAGCAGAAAGCAAAATCACAGATTAGGCAGGGGAAAGCAGCTGAGGTAGCACTTGTACCAAAAGGTTGGCACCCACTGTCCTGGATGTTTGAAGCATGTCAACCAACTACTTCCCTGTCATTGCAATGGCAGGGCACTGGCAGTCCTCCCATCTCCCCTGCTTTTACTCACAGCATTGTATTGGGTGGTGTTTTTGTTTCACTTACGATGCCTTGCAGCTGTGTGAGAGGACTTGAAAAGGCAATCTGGGGAGATTCTTGGGTAAATGATGGCCTGTGAAGGCAGGGGACTTGACCTGATGGCTCAGGACGACCCTTCTACTTTTGGGTTCCTAACTGTTCAAAGTATTTACAGAGGCAGCCATATCTACCCACGTGCTTCCAAAAGGTTTAATAGCTCAATGTCTTTATTTTGAAAAGGCCACTTCCCAGAAATTTAATTAAGGTCTGGGTGCATGTTTTCAAATTGCTCAACCAGAGGGAAAAATGCAGATTAAAAAAAACCACAATACAAATTAAATTACCTCACCACCATGACTATGGCAGCAAGGCAGGGCAGGGTCTTTTTTTAATTGCATACTGCAGGCAGCATTCATGGCCAGAGAACAGCTAAGGAGCTTTCCCACCTCTTTCTCCCTCTCCAGACAAGAAACCAACCCAACCAAGGCTCCAGATATCGATGTACCTTCCTAAATCCAAATGTTTTCATTCAGTTGTTGGGCAGCTTGCACCATCTGCTAAATACTCTGGAGCCTTGTGACCTCACACCACACCCCTGGAAGCTTCACAAATAGAATAGTTGATTTGATCTATGCAAGGTGTGAAGTTGTATGCTGAGTGCCTACAGCCATCTGAAGTGTATACTAATGTATTGCACACACATACTGAAATGCATCAGTACTGAACATCTGTAGTTTGGTGTGTTGAATAACAGCTCAGTTAAGATTCAGCACAGGAATCAGCCAAGGAAAAAGCAAGGAAATAAGCAGCTGTCATTCAAAACGACACGTACGCTCTTATTTGTTAGCTCTCTCTCAACCTCCAATAGGGCTCATCACCATCCGCAGCATATACATCTTCAGGATTGCAAAGATGGTAGGTGGCCATGTGGGAAGGTGGGGGATGGAGCCAACAGGAGTGGAGTGCAGAGAGAGGCCTGGAGCCTACTGTTTCTATACAAAAGGCAACAGTGCCACAGAGGGCTCCTAATGAAGACCTCTTTGCACAAACACCTGGGCTTTCCACTATACTGTGGCTTTGGTTTAACAGGGAACAAAAGACATGGTGAATAGACAGTGGGGTCCTCCCTCAAATTAGGAAATGAAGCAGCCTGGAACAACCCAACTTCCTACTGCTGTGGCCATTTGTCTGTCAGTCCCAGCTCCCTGCACAAGCCTGTATGCCTTCTCTCAAGACCTCTTCGAAGTCCATCTCTACTTGCAGACAATAGTTCCCTATCTTTTTTTTCCAGTAGTTCCCCATCAGCAGAGGAACTTCAGGATATTGTTTAGACCTGAAAATAGGAAATCAGTCCCTTGCTCTATTCCACTGATTTAGACATTTCAACAAAAAACCACACTGGAAAGCTGCTTAAGCCAGTGGAGAAGTGGTTGCAGAGAGAAAGAAGTTTGGAAAAATAATGTAGCTTCCTCTCATTTGTCACAATTCATCTCTCATCCATGCTGTCCTTAGAGCCCTTTCCTACTGTATGCCCTCAATTTGTAGTTTCACTTGGAAAAGTCTTAAAATTTAACAGCATCAAAAGGGGTCTGTGATTTTTCAAGTGCAAAATAACCCTAGATGTTCATTAGTTTCACTAGGCTATGGTATTTTCTTTCCCTTCCTGTGTTCGACTGTGGTGGTAAACAACTGCTACGTTCTATTCCGAAGGAAGTTGCCAAACAGCGATGAATGCTCTGTGAATGCTACTGAATACGAGGCATTACAGGAGACCCTCACCATTCATGGGGACTACTCTAAGCGCCACTGCTACCGCCGCCACTGCCTCCCTCCCTGTCCCCAGGATCCCCTGCAGCGCCTGGGAACTGACCCCTTCCCCTGAGCGCTGCTGCGGCTGCCTCCAGGGGAGAAAATGCCGCCGCTGCCTCCTTCCATGTCCCTGGCGCTCGCTCTCCGCCTGCCTCCCGGCTCTACCTTCCCCTGCGAATATTTGAATCCGCGAACCCGGAGTTCATGAATAGCGAGGGTTTCCTGTATGTAAATATTAGATACTGAATATGGCTACTTTAAAAATACCTATTAGAGATATGGGAAATAAGTTAGTTTAACATGTTGGCTGAACAGATGTTTTTCATCTACAGGATAAACAAAATCCCAACAAGCTTTGTTAGGGTTTAGTGCTCTACTGAATCCCTAATCTTCCTGGGTGACCTTGTTAAGACTTCCGTGAGATGCACACTCGTTAAAAATTGAAGATAATAGAATAAATGCCAGCCCTTACCTGTCCACCGGGGTCTGAAAGCATAGGGCCCTCAGCCTCTTCAGTTTTTGTCCCTGAAGACGGCAGTTCCTGGGGTGGTTCAGGAAGGAGGTCATCTAGTGTGTTAGCTGTAGGCTGACTGGGTTGAGATTTCTCCCACTCCGTAGATAGAGAAGACAGGCTTGGAGTGATGAATGTTTCTGGTTTAGCTATGCTGGGTTTCTCACCTTTGGTCGTCTCTTTTGGAGTAGACTCTTGCCTATAAAAAGATGTAAGGGCTTTCTCTCCTTTCTCCATCGATTTAATCTGGCTAGGGGTCAAGGACTGGAATTCTGACTGGCCTCCTTCAAATTTTGAACGCTCTGCATTTATCTTCCAGAAAGAGGACTCCTCTTCTTTCCTGGATGGTATTAACCCATCAGAGCTAGGCGTCTTGTTACCCTGAGAAGATTTGGGTGCCTGGACACCGGGTGCTGCTTTGACTGGTTGTCTCTGTTCATTTTGTGATGGGACACCACCTTGTTCTTGTAGGGATAAAGATGCAACACTGAACTCCATTTGACTCTGTAAGGGATTACAAGAAAACAAACACACCAACAATGCATTTCAAATCCCACTACAAAAAGGCAAAAACAATTACACTCTGACTGACAGCAGGGGCTCACAACTGTTATCTGCATGGCAGTAGGTAATATCTGCACCAATGCCAGTATTAGAACAGCACCAACCACCAGAAAGGCAACTGCCTCCAAAAGCTTTTGCCCTTTGAAATACAGAATGAAGAACCTTCATGAAACGGTCTGGAGAAAATAAGACTTATAAACCCTTTGGAGACCAGCCACTAGGGGGAAGCAATTACTTATCTGAGTGTTCAGATGCCCTCCAAAGGAGGGTGGGGGGAGAGAAAAAGACATGGGCACATGCAGGTAGAAGACAGAGCAATGAAAAGTGCACAATACATGCAAATAGAACTGTTTAAAGAATACTGGATATCTGCTAAAAAGGCATACTTAATAAGATTTCTAAACAAAGAAACCTTAACAAATCAAGCAACCAGGGTTTCAGTGCCACCTTTGAAATGATTCCTTGGAGTCTCAGAACAGCAGAGACTTCCTATGCCTGAAGAAGGGTGATTGTGCCCCAAAGCTTGTTAAGACCTTTTTTCCAATTAAGCAGTTGGAAATAATAATAAAAGATATCACATCTACTCAAAGAACCTTGCCTTCTTTGAAATGATTAGTTAATCTTCTAGCTACATTTACTTCGGAAACAGTGGAACACTAGTAACCATGTCTACCCATAAAATAATTATAAACATACTAATTTAATGTTTGTAACAGAGAGCAACTGCACAGAAAAACTCCAAATAACTTTATGTTTACTTCACAGCTGTATTTGGATTTTTTTTCTTTTACTTATTTGATTTGGTCTGAGATATTATCTTTATTGCTACCTGTTGTCAAAAGATTTCAGTTTTATCGATGTGTCACGGAAATATGCCCATAGTTAAATGATGGCATAGCTCTCATAAAAACAGCATGGAGATTGTCAGTAGCTATTTGACTTTTAAACACTATCCTTAATTACTTTAATTTCTAGGTGTTTGTTTTATACCATTTCTGATACCGCTGCAGTCTCACAGAGCACTGTTAACAAACCCTACATTTTGTAAAAGCAAAGCAAACTGTCTTTACAAAACTTAAGCATTAAAATGCTTTCATGTTATAGTTCCACGAACATGTTTCCTCTGTACTGCTGTGCTCTGAAACAGAACAGGAGCATAAAAACTGCCAAAGGGAAATAAGTCTAATTTAACTGCATTTCACTCAAGTTGCAAACAAAAAAACAGTGCAGAATAAATTATATTTATAAAATTACAAACCTAATGCCGCAAGTTACTAATGGCAAGGCACAGAGGAAGTTTTGTCATTTTTGTTAAGTATATGGAGAAATACTATTTTTTTAAAATATGGACAAATACTAACTTTTACCAATAACTGTAAAGAATGACTTCTGAAGTTCATTAAAGATTATATGCACTTAAATTATTTTCATTTTATTACACCTGGAATCTATCTTTCCAGATATATGCAATAGTGTCCACAGGCATAAATACTAATCCCATTATACCTAGTTTTCACTAGAAGTGTGCTGGGGTTCAGTTCTGCATTCCCTGTACAGAGGGAACTCCCCTAGCATTCAAAAGGACTGCTGATCTTGCATGTTTTCCATGCCCAACTTTTGTTAGTGATGTCTAATTAAAAGCTGCTGAGTTAGCATTTTCACTAACTGTACTAGCGTACAACATTTGCTTTGCGCTAGTCAGCAGTCTGCTACACACGATTGATTTGTAGATTAAAAACTGAACTTTCCAGAGATTTGGGTCAATACAGTGGTTTTACCTATTCTACCCACTTTACATGCAGGAGAGCAACATTTGACTGGCAGTCTCAGTTCTTTAGCTCCATATTTAATTCAGGGAGTGCTCTGCATTATCCAAGAACATTAAAAAAAAAAATCAAGCTGGGAATAATTAACAAACAGCATGAGTAAGTAGGACTGCAAGGACACAAGCAGCTCTGATCATGCTACTTGAACAATTATTTCCAATTTTAAAATGTCAATGTTGCAAGCAGTTTAAAAAAAAAAAAAAGCCTGTTTCCATGTTGTGGGCAGAAGATGTTCCCCTATTACCAGCAAAGACAAAAGCTGCAGAAGCAGACTGCTGGTGTCATGGCATTGTGGTGTCCACTGAGAACCAATACCTATAAAACTAAATGTGTATGTTTTATACATTCACTTAGGAAATCTACCCAGGACAGTTTCTGCAACTGGGATCTATTTCATGACCCTAGGATCAGTAAACATGATTCCTGCCACTAACCCTTCTTACTGCAGTGCCAGACAGCAAAAGCAAGATTCACTGTTTCTATAACAGATTTTGTTCCTCCTGAAAACACAACACTGCAAACTAGAATTTAGGTTCGTGTAGGGTTTTTTTGTCTACTTCTTTGGACTCTGCAACTGTTATTTTACTATGTGGGATTCAGTTCTAGAGATCACCATAGAGATTACAGGGCTTTATAGATCAACATTAGTTTCCAAATGCTACATTCTGTGTTGGTATGTGTGACATTCATTAACACCAGTTAGAACAGCCTTTAACTACGAGGCTGTAGTTAGAAGCAATTTGGTATTTCCAAATGCAAAGAAAGGGTTGCATTCCAGAGCCACAAAACTATAGCTGAAGAATGTTACTATTAATCAGAGGGGGAAGCAGTGTATTTTTAATCTTTCTGAGTTGTCTGCCTTGTTTAGCACATATAGGAATGCCCTGTCATTGAAACAGCATGTGTCCAATTTAGTAAATTCACTGCTGCAGGATTTTGGATGAAACGCTTAATCTATATAGCAACAAAGCTTTTTCTTCAAAACTGAACTTTATAAAACAGAGTGGTCCCACATTCAAAATGCCACTTGAACATCTTTTTAAAAATGATCAGAGCAGAAACCTGGACGATTACAGTTTTAGTTTCAGATCTGACCTAAAACCAGAGATAAGTCTTCTCTAGCTTAGGTATGACAAAAATCCTGAATCCCTCAATTTTTGAAAGATTTTGGTTCCTGGTACATCCAGTCTTACAACCATACTTGAAGATTTTTGCTATTTGGACCTGGGACATCATTAAGACAGTTCGGAATATTTCAGTGTTTTAATTTAAACACAATTCTATCCTTTATTGATCTCAAACTCAAACAAGTAGCCACAATCTAATTTGGATTTTCAGAGACCAAGCATATAATCACCACTATGATATTTGTACGTCAGCCCCGTGGACCAGTATCAAATTATCCTAGTGTGCTTTTTTCTTTTTAATATCCTGAAATTAACTGGAGCATGATACAAGTTATTTATTGGATTCAGCTGAAATGCACAATGGTTCCATATGACCAAAGCTAGTGAAAATATACAAACCCATTTCAACAGGGCATGAACATCTTGGTATGCCTGATGAAGTCAAGTTGTTTAATATATGGTATTTCAAGCCAGGCAATTTGCAATGTGTTTCAGTTTTAGTTATTTAAAAAAAGCTGTTAGAAAATTTTAGCTAGGGAAATAATTTTGAAGACAAAGGGAGCTCAGTGTGTGAATCTGGTGCTAGAACATGAAACACGACTCAAATGTGCATGTCTTACATCGCATGTTTCTAGCTAACCATTAAGAGAGTTCCAGTTCACTGTTCTGCTCTTACTTTTAAGTACATCAAATTCCAAGTCAACAAATGATTTAACACAAAAACACCCCCGCCCCCAACATATACCATATACCGTCCTCCCTCAAGCCTTTTGGTTTTTTTGGCTCAAAAACAGTCATTTCAAAAACTATAGCTAAAGCTAGGAGTTCTAAAAACGTTTTCCAGTTACACATTTCATTTTAACATCCACTGCAATTTGGCCACCCCTTAAAATTCTGTCTATCATTTTGCATTTTGATTCAGAAGCATGAACTTATATTGATGGCCTGTGCAAACCTAGCTGTGCCATTCCCATAAGCATTTTGATAGATGGCTCTGCTACCCCAATCAAACTTCTTGCAGTAGACATTCCATAAGGAGCATAATGTACATTTTGCATTTATTAATTTTGTAAGACAGACCTGCTGTGCCTTCTTGTTGTACCTTTGAAGGCCAACCGATTTTCAACAAGAAGTTTCTACAACAGGAGACCTGCACTCGGGAAGAGTCTTTATTACCACTGGCCATTCTGAATTCTTTTAGTAAACACTTTAGATTGGGACCCTGGAGATTTGGGTTTAACCCTCTGCTTTTTCCAAATCATGGTGCAATTTCAGACCAAATCCTAACCTACGTCTTGTTTTATTTCCTACTCCAGGGGTGGCCAACCTGCAGCATGTGCGCCACAAGCAGCACAGGTAGCCTCTGTGTGTGACATGTAGCAGGTTGGGGAACAAGACAGGCAGCACAGAAGCATATAGGGCAGGAGGAAGAAAGAAGGGCAACAGATTGGGCAGGGAGCAGAAAGCAAAGAAGCAGACTGGGCAAAGGAAAGTGATGGAAGTAGCAATTAAAAAAGATGTGGTGCTAATTTGTGGCATGTCTGCCAAAAAATGCTAGCTCCAACTGCTCTATTTGCACACCACCTTCTACCTCACAAGTCTGGCAAAGATACCAGCTAATTTTTCTCAAGTGCTCCTAGTTCTTTTCAGTACTAGTATGAAATGAATTTGAAGTCAGAAGCCTTCAAAAAAAAGTTTAAAGTTTAAAATTAAACTAAAATACTAAACTAAAAAGAAAAAGCACAAGAACCAAAGTGAGACTTGAGAAGGTGGAGAGAATCCACAAACACAATGCAGCCAGGAGTGCAAGCAGACAAGCACAAATTTGCTAGAGAAATTATTGGAAACATAATAAATGCCTTAAGGCTGTGGCATACTCTTATAGACCTTAATGATTTAATCATACTGTATAAAATTAGGTCTCAGTTCATAAGGTCTATACTAAAAACAGAAAGACCACAAGGAACTCAAGAGCTATTTTTACATC